ATTTTTGCAACTCGATGTGGTACCAGTGGCGGATCTAGGAGGGTTGTTTAGGTCTGGACCCCCCGTTGAAAAAATTATTCAATTTGTTTTTGTATAATATAAAAAAATCATCAACTTAGTCTGGCAATTTTAAATTTTGGACCCCCCCCCCCCCCCAAATAAAAAAAAATCCTGTATCCGCCCCTGGGTACAGACAAGAGTATGTACGAACACGACAAACCAGTGCGTCGATAACGTGTAATTATATACCAGGCAATGAAATTTGCGATACGAACTATGTTTGATATCTCTTTCAGTGAACGACCAGCTCCTTGGGCTAGCTAATAACTGTGAAATTATTGTATCTCTGTCCTATTTAAAGATGTTCTCCTTGGGTGTTATCTTTCATGACTGTAACACTTCACGTCCAAATGTGATTAGAATATTCCATTGGACTTATATGCGCTGTCGTTATGAAGGAAATTTGTAGAAATTTCAGAATAAAATTGCACTAACAAAATTAAGACAGGGGACATGTTGCATATGTGCAGAAAAACTGATTTGTTATCACAAACACAAATATGTCATATTGCTCGTTATAAACGATTTTCAAAAGGATGTAGTAGTTTACACCTCAAAATAATGGTATCTTCGACAACGTGTCCAACACTGCTGTTGAGAAAATAATCACGTAGTGGTGTTTCAATTTCAGAAGCAGGCGCCACACGGTTGTCTGAAGAAAAAATTGCTAACTGACTATAACTTTTGCTATAAATAAATAAATAAATAAATAAATAAATAAATAAATAAATAAATAAATAAATAAATAAATAAATAAATAAATAAATAAATAAATAAATAAATAAATATCATTCTATTCTATTCTATTCTATTCTATTCTATTCTATTCTATTCTATTCTATTCTATTCTATAGAAACAGCAAAACGTTGCTAATTAAAGGGCTGCGATCGCCGCACCGCGTCGGGTTCGATACGTGACTCATAGCGACGTACACATCGCTGTAAAATGCAGTTTTTCTTCACGTGAAATTTGAACACGCGCTGCGCGAAGACCGCCACCCTTTAATATTCATGGGCATGTTCATAATAAATTTAAAGCCAAGATAAGGAATAAAGTTCAAACGCCAGCAAACCTCATACATCAAAACGTTGTTTGTCTTTCTTTTTCACCTCCTTGATATGCATTGCTGTGCACGGCGCGGCGTCAACCAAACCAGATAGTCAAAAAATGCAGCACCTTTGGCTAGCTTTCATGACAAGCGTTTCTACAGTCAGTACGCATCGGAAACGTAACAGCCTTGGCGCACTTCAAGCGCGGTTATCGTCGCACAGTGCGTGTTCGAATTTCGTAAATAAACAATATACTTTACACGCAATAAACGGCAAGGTAGATACTACGTCAAATTATAGTAAACACGTACTGCGTGCGTAACTCGAACCGGCGCTCGCGTACGGCACCAAATCGCTTAGCTTCACGCCACTACACGTCTTCCCCTCGGCCACCGGGCATCCCCGAAAAAGGATGCTTAATAACCGAGCTTACCGTTCTTATCTGGGTAAGAGCCCATGCCTGGACAAACGCCCACCCCCACTTTTGACACAATAAAGAAGTTGAGGTCATATCCGGGCACACGCCCAGGGGGTCTTTTTCTACATACACAAAACAAAAAAAAACTATTTTCTATTCGTTGACTGTGGTTGTATTAACAGTTGACTTTCTTGAAGTCTGTCGTGATACTTATAACAAATTTTAATTGCGTAAAACAAGGCGTGAACGCGGCAAAATAGCTGTGACAGCTTTCTGCCTTCAGGGCAGCGCTTTCACCCTTGATTTTTTTCAGAATCATAACAGTCAGCAAGTCTATAAAAATGAATATTAAAGCAGAAACGACAGTTCTCTTTTTGAAATATGTCATGGCCCTAAAAAGGGCCGGCCGTTTGGTTTGCGCTTCCTTAGAAACGATTCAAGCAAATCGTATAAGGAGAGCCGCTGAGCAAGTGTCGCACTCGTTCGGCTTTAGCGTCGCCGACAATGAAAACAATGTTGCAATATTGTAGCAACCCGTACCTGGGAGAATGGTTGAAATCACGTTATTTTGGCTTTATAAATATTTGTTTGCAGTTTGCGAATCCATAACTGGGGCCAGAAATTTTGCAATGTCGCGCCGAAGACTGCCAACTTTTTTACCATCTTTTATCACCGCTATTGCATTTCTGTCATGAAAACTATTCTTCTGTTGTTGGATGAAAAAAAAAACGTCAAGTCCACCGCGATATTTATATAGTGAGACATTTCAACCGCCGGAACTTGCTGAATGATAACTTTTACCGTGATAAATAAGCGTCGAGTCTGTTAAGAAAGCAATGTCACGATTTGACCTTTATGATGAAATACTACCGTAGTAGTGATGTCATTCTTCGCCAATCAGTAAAGCAGATGCATAAAGGTCAAAGATGATTGCTAGACTGTAAACAAAAGCATCGCGTGCCATCGCAGCAGAGCGACCCCATTTTTCTTGTCTCTTTATTATGATTAGACATGAATGAAAAGTGACAAGCTGACAGACTGTGAAATCCGTGGATTAAAAGTGCTAAGTCCAAATTGTGTGGGACGATATCGACGAACTTCAGGAATAAGTTGTAGGGATTTTGTTCGACGGCTACAGTGACGCCGACTTGGACATTTGAGGGTTTTGAGTTTGACGAAGATGGCAATGAAAGTACAAATAAAGATCTGAGAAGTTTTTCAAACAGCTATGAATTTTTATAATTTTTACTGTGTAAATTTGTAAATTATTATTGATCTTGTTTGACGGTTGATTCGTAATTTGTCGAGACCGGAAATCATTTTACGCAGTTTAACACCTGACATTTTAATTCATGCGTATTGGGCGTGTTTGTTGGCGGGAAAATCCTAATTCAAATGATTCCTCACTGTCGATTTTTATTATTTCTGGTTTATTTGTCACATTATTTAGCGATACATTATTTTTGTTTTACTTCTAGTATTGCATATTGTTCATTTATTTCCGTTGCATGTTTTCATTTGCCGTTCTATTCCCTGCCGCAGTTTGATCTGTGTGTTGTCAATTTTCGTGAATTTTCTTTTTTTTTGCCGGGGATCTCCTGGCAATCGCCCACCCCTACTTTTTTGCAATTTTCCATGTCCAGGACCCTTGGCTTATGCCCGGATAAATACGGTAGAATTTAGCACTTAAATTTTAAAAAAATTTTTGTTCACAACTAAACTATATCCAGTTAAATTTGTGTATAGCAACCACTAAAAGGACTTCATTCATTAACTTTGTTAAAATAGTCTTAATTATTTTGGTCTCAAAGAATAGTGAATTCACAAAAATAAACAAGTCATTGAAAATGACACAGTCCCCGTTAAATTTTTGAAAGTTCTCTTTCTGCTCGTCATATTAAAGCGGAGGGGTTGTCGTGAGCGTGTCCTTGAAAATTGAGTTCCAAGTGGCGTATACAACAGATTGTTTATTTACATCAAAACACGTGTTCCGTGTAGTAGTAATATGGCCAAAAATAAAAACAGCCGTTATTCGGCCATCTTTGATCTGATTATGAAACACACTGATATGTATGATGTATGTGCAAAATACAAATGAAAATGGTACATAAATTGTGGAAATATAGTAGTAATACCAAAAAGTCAGATGGCTGTCAATCAGCCATCCTTGACCAGATGTTGAAACAAATTGTCATGGACATGCATCCTAACATGTATAAAGTACATGTATGTGCCAAATTTGAATGAAAACTGACAGAGCACTTCCAAGATACCGCATAAAATAAAAGAAAAAAAAAAGATGCCTGCCAGTAGACCATCTTTGATCCAATTGCGAAATAAATTGTCATGGACATGTAACCTAACATGTATAATCTATGTACCAAGTTTGAATGACAACTGACAAAGCATGTCCAAAATACAACATTTTCAAAAAACAAGATGGCTGCCAGTCGGCCATTCTGAATCGAATTGCTAAACCACTGCATGTGCATATGTACCACATAAGGTACTAGGCACATGCAAAGAATGAACGGAATCGGTCTACAGGATTCTGAAATATTGCTATTGACAGACTGACGCACGGGCGGACGGACGGACAGACTCAGGAACTCACGGATGGTCGGGGACATGTATCCTAACATGTATGATCGATGTACTAAATATGAATGAAAACTGACAAAGCATGTCCAAAATAAGCCATTTTCAAAAAACAAGATGGCTGCCAGTCGGCCATCTTTGATCCAATTGTGAAATAAATCGTCATGGACATGTATCCTAACATGTATAATCTATGTACCAAATTTGAATGAAAACTGACAAAGCATGTCCAAAATACAACATTTTCAAAAAACAGGATGGCTGCCAGTTGCTAAACCACTGCATGTGCATATGGTCCCAGATAAAGTACTAGGCACATGCAAAGAATGAACGGAATCGGTCCATAGGATTCTGACATATGACTCTGGACGGACGCACGGACGGAGACCGAATTATAAGTCCCCGTTTTCGGACTTCGTCCGAACGGGGACTAATAAATCACATTCATATAGAGGTGTCTGCCTATAAGTCTTTATATACAGGTGGTCACCAAGATTTTTCTGTACTAGAAAACTCACTAAATAAATTAACAATATAAAAATTCAAACTTTTTTGTCCTATGCCACCAAGAATAATTTCAAGATATGAAGAAATAATTACACCATGAAAACCAGGGCAAAAATTAAAATTTTCTCAAAAAAACTCATCTCATTTGATCTCATTTTTGTTTTCATTTACATAATTCACGATAATGAAGCATTAAACAGTTTAAATTCAGATCGAAAGGTGTCACTCAGTGCATGTTCAAATTTCATGTTAAACAATGTAATTTACACATATTGTGTACATCGCTATGAGTCCCATATCAAGGACGTGGCACTGCCCACTGCTCTTATCAAGGGGATATGAAGACAAACACAACTTGTACACATACCTGTTTTTATTTTTTTTCTTATACTTATTTTTATCTTGTACAGGAAAGTTATTTGACCATTTTGTCTTTGTCTTAACTTTATGATTATCTATGGTTCTGGTTATCGTTTGATGGAATCCATTTTCTGCAAACAATGAAATGTGTAATACAGTTGGTAAATTTGTGCCTTGATTGACTGTGATAGAGATGATCTGAGAGGGAGGGGTCCCCAATATTACTGTGGGTACGGGAGAAGAGCAGTACTGTAAATGTGTTGTTTTAGCTAGTATGTTAATTTAACGAATCCATAATTCAAGATGTCACTAATTTCAATGAAGTATATTCTTACAATGAGATTGTTGGCACTTTTGCTAAATTAAGATTTTGTTAATTCATGCATTGAGTCAAATTTCCTAAAATGACATGCAGCTATTTCAACAGTATCTAGCCCATGAAGATAATGAAACAGTTCACTATGCATACATCAATTATTATTCAAAAATTGCTGTCCAACCTCAGAAATAAATGCTACCTAATTATGGATTATCATATCAAATCCATCTAACAAGTTCAAACAACTTAGAACCAAGTGTGTGAACATGAAAACTGATCAATCCAGGCAGCCTATGTGTAATCATGTATGAGGCCTTGCAAAAAAAGATTTCCTGGTCAAATTTAAAAATGATGAGGTCATTTATTTTGCTAAAATATTTGATGGAGTACAAATTTTTCAGGTTTAATAAATTTTTCAAAAGAGGGCTCTGTGCAGTGGCAAAATAAGTGAAAATCAAAGAAAGCTTAGAAAGAACTCCCGAGTGCTGAGAGTATTGGAGACACATTAAAATTCAAAATTTTAGATTTGCTTTTCAAACAAAAAAACTTGGCAACTAATTTTTGTCTGCTATTTGAGATGCATAACATGAAAAAAATGTGATTCGCATTATCAAAATTTATAATACATACAGAAAATACAATTGATTTCTCATCCATGGTTTTTAATCTAATTAGTTCCAGAGCACCTCTGAAATGAATTCAATTTAATTCAGATTTTTTTAAATAACAGAAATGAGCTAATAATAGATACCGTATTCAATATGCATGTTTATCAACTTTAAACTAATCATGTATGTGGATTACTTCAATGAACCAAATGAATTATTATACAAATTAAGCAATTATTATGCATAGATTTAGGTCTGTATATTGTTTCAGGGTGCACATGTACAAAATTTCAATATAATGTGATGATTAATCCTAACTAAATTAGTGAAAAGCTGAAAAGTAAATTATTATGCAAATTAGATAATTATTATAGATGTATATAAACCTAAAACTAATTAGATCATCACATTGTGTTAGAGTACATATGTACCAAGATTCATTGAATTAAGATAAGTACTGTCACAGACCATCTATGTACGAAGTTTCATTGAAATGTGATTAGAACCAAAAATTGTGATTTATTATGCAAATTAGATAATTATTATTATAGATGTATATAAACCTAAAACTAATTTGATCATCACATTGTGTTAGAGTACATATGTACAAGGATTCATTGAATTAAGATAAGTACTGTCACAGACCATCTACGTACAAAGTTTCATTGAAATGTGATTAGAACCAAAAATTATGATTTATTATGCAAATTAGGTAATTAATATGATCTGATTTTAACCCAAAACTGAGCGGGTCTGTGCATTGTTCTAGAGCATCAATGTACCAAGTTTCACTGAAATGGAATAATTAGTACTTGCGATATGTGTAAAAGCCAAAAATTAACTAGTTATGCAAATTAGTTGATTAATATGCACACATTTTTACTTAAAACTAGAGCATCTATGTACCAAGTTTCATTGAAAAGTAAGTAATAGTACTTGAAATATCAAAAGCTGAAAATTGATTAATTATGCAAATTAAGTAATTAATATTTTACATATCTGTCTGTGCATTGTCCTATGTATCTATGTAAGTTTCATTGAAATGTGATGATTAGTACCCGAGATATCAGTGGAAAAGCCGAAAATTGACTAATCATTATGCAAATTAGGTTAATTATATGCATGGATTTTTACCCAAAACTTATCACATCTGTGCATTAGTTCAGAGCATCTATGTACCAAGTTTCATCAAAATCTAATGAATGTCACACATACACACACACGCACATACTGACAAGGTAACTGCAAAGACTCCTATTGTGTGCTTCACATGTGGTGTTGGCTGTCACCAGAACCATGCCGTTTTTTAGACCATACCTGCACTTTATCAGTGCTCCGTTCTGCCCACAGTAATTGTCTATGTCTACGGTAAATAATTCAATAAGTGTACTTACTTGTTTTTGTTTTTTTGTTTTTAAACCAAACTGCTTCATAATCATCCTTCTCATCCTCTTCCTCATCAAAAAACTTGTGTTTATTAGATGAGTGTCGCTTTCTTTTCTGTTTACCTGGCTGACTTGTCATCTCATTGAATCTATTATTAATCTGCTTCCAATTGTCATATCGACATATAAAAGGCGTCATTGGTATAATAGACTTTATCATTCTGCTTTTATTACATATCTACAAAATCAATTACATGTATGAGAGTAAGGTAACATTAAGTGTAATCTCTCTAATCTTGAGAGTGAATATCTGGGTATTTTCACCTCCTGGTAAGCAGAACCGATGAATGGTAATAAATTCTCAAAAAACTTTACTTTGGGCCAATTGTTGAGACTCTCCTAAACAGTGAAACAAGATTACCCCTACATGTGTAATATATAGAAATTTGGTTGCTCAGTATTATTTCAAAGTTGAGTTTGTGCTGTTTTCGTTGACTCTTTGATCGGCATTCCACACCAGCTTGAATACATGTGGTGTGCGTCTTAGCAATGTAAATGAGTAAATATATGTTCTGTGAGAATGCTACTTGTGTGTGTATGGGGGGGGGGGGGTGTTTTTGATGGCAGGAACATCACTAAATTGCAACTACATATAATAATAGTAGCATGGCAATCTGGAAATCCACAGGTGTATTAAATGGATTCTGAAGCAAATCTTATTGAAACAAGTAACCTGTAGAATGCTGTGTGGGTAATATTTTTTTATATTGATTTTTGCTGCATTTGCAGCAAATAGTTACCAAACAATGAGAAATCTATAGGATTGAATATACCCCACAGCTGGCTTCACATGCATAGTTCAAGCCTGCCTAACCGGTGCTTACACCAGGATTTAGTTACAGCACCTAGGCAGTATGTGGTTACAGCTTAATGTTCGAGTAATCGCAAGAAATTGACATGACAATAAAGATTCATTAAAGACTGGCACTCCCATGCAATTAACAGCGAGGGAAATTCCTGGGATTGAAACATATATTTTGAAATCACTGATGTAGGCAACGAATAACTGCAAGTTGACATAAAGAC